TAAATATATATAATATATATCCCTACCAAAGTGACTGTATATTCAACCTTTTTGAGAATGCGTAACTTGGGCAACGATTGATCATACTTTCGAGAAGGTTGCTTGAAAGTGTTCATCATGGTCATCACATAGAGTGCGCAATTTATACATGCATACATACCCTTTCGAAACATTCTGATCTGACAAACTCTGCTGTCAGTTTGCTGCCATGTCCACATTGTCACGAGCCAAACATCATCAGTGCTTTGGACCCCAACTGGAATTCGGGAGGCACTCACTCAACTTAATCGCTTGGTGTTTTTCGTCACGCCCCGTGTCTACGCCATCTGCTGACTTCTATCTGGTTTCCTCCAACCCGGAACGGCTACAGCTGTTTGTATGCCTTAGTCGAGATTGTAAACCAAACATTGATTATACAGACAACTTGGTCTTAATAAGTGATTATCACTTCTTGATCTAAAACACATTGTGGCGGTGGTGGCCCGGTGATAACGTCCCCCAATTGGCACTCTGGAGGATATATGTTCGAATCCCATCACCACCACTGTTGTAAACGCGCAGGATTTTCTCGGGTTTGGCTCTCGAAGGATCGTCTCCCGGTAACGCTTTCTCGTTCAGATAGAAAATCAACATGTACTTAAATAGAACCCAGCGGAAAGCGTGTGGGATTCGTTTTATTATGCAAATATCATGGTTACTTATGGGGAAGAGAGGACATGGGAATGCATATATCCAACGATTGGTTGATCGGATTGTTGCCAACCGTCTTAATTTGTCAGCGGGTCCTACGAACAACCTGGGATCACCTATCTTTGTTCAGATTGATTGTTTCAAAACAAAGCAGTTTTCTGGTAGCATGCTGTCTCCCTGACAACCACCATCATCATCACCACAACCGACTTTGCTATTCGGCGAAGTGATATCCGTAGGGCTTTGAATATAATATGAACACGTACGTTTACAGCAATCGTTAAAAGATACCCCGTACACATTCTTCTCAGTGGTGTTATCTTTCCGGTGAGTTTTATTCCGTTGTGGAGTTGGCGTTTATGGTGATTTTATTCTGTTTTATAAGTTATTTTAGAATTATTACGTTACCTTCCAATAAGTTAAATGAACTTGTCTTTTCGTTATATTTTGAAGATGCTATCATTTTGATCTTCTTTGATCTTCTGAGCTGTTGAGTGAATGGGGCTTTCTTTTCGAAAATTCAGCGATCGGTATGTTATTACATTTTCTACTCTCTACTATCTGTTAACTGAGTTCATTCACAAGTATGCTTATATACTTCTTGAGGGCGTTTTCATTTCACATGGGTACAATTTTCCGATATATACTTTGAGTCTGTATTTCTTGAATGATTAGTATTTGGGTTACTTTCGTTGATCACTTCCTTGACAATACTCCAAACTGTTACTGCTCCTCCATAAACAGACCCCTTTTTTCCTGAAGTAGCATAAAACCATTTCTAAGTAGGGGAAGCCCGATAATGAGCTTTTCTCTTATTATTATGAAGTCTTATTTTGTACATTTTTGAGAGTATTCTTATGATGATATCTGATCCCACTTACGATCTTGTTCTGTCCCCTCTCTCTTCTATTAGCTGACTGTGGAGATTACGGTGAGGATCGTTTGGGTCCTCTCTATGTGAAACAGCTGTTGAAAATGCCCAACTTATCACCGGAACTGGAGGCTCGAATCAAAGCTAAACACGCGGAATTTCGGTACGTTCTACGTTTGGTGTTGATATTACCTAACAAAATATAACTTAACGCATATATATCCGACGAATTTCTTTGCAGATCTTTGCTCCCTTTCTATGAGAATTATCCCTTAATATGACACCTTATTCTCCGAGGTCGGTGTTCGGTCCTTCTCTACGCTGATTCGGTCTCGTGGATGTAACAGATAGCAGCTGCCCACCAACGACGATCGGAGATGAAATCGGCCCAGTTCATCATATAGCGGCGATGGTCTTAGGCAGTCTCTGGTCCTGATTCTTCCTTATCCGATTTGACTGTACTATGACGTGTTTTTAAGTGTCCGTTACAGTAGCAATGCCGGAACAGGTATGGTGAGAGAACGGGCATTGTCTCACGACGTAGGATCTGATTTAACTGTTATTGTCTTCTTCGCAGCAGAACCTACAAGAACCGCTCAGCGTCGTTTTATGGAGTTTTTGGATAAATTGTCACAACGGTCGCAACACTATACGTGCTTCAACATTGGAAATGATAATCGAGCTTTCTCTGTTCCGGGGCAACTTCGTTTGAAATCAAGGTATTGGAGAATTTAAGTCCGGTAACAAATTTTATGGAACATGTTCATCGTCATCTCCATTAGAGGGGAATAAAAACCCGATTCTTTAGCAACATTTTCATAGACTAAATTCACAAATCCCGGTTGAATATTGCTACACTAACATACAAATTACCAATAGTACTTATTATAGAATATCCTTTTTAGTACTCCTGCTTGATTGCCTGCGCCTCTGTCACATTCATCGATCATGTTCTTTTTGCTCCCTTGATGGTGATTTGTAATTAAATTTACTGACTGCTGATTTTTCTTCTTTGTTGAGCTCTTCCAAAATGTTTGCATTCTATAATCCCTAGTGGTATGTTTTAAACCAAATTTCTGGTGTATTCCCTAATGCTCTCAGTTTGATCGTCTCACGGCGCATGTCAGGGCTTACTTCCGTGTCTCTCAGATCGAGGAAATGTTTAAATACGGGGATGAGGGGCAGCATTTTCAAACCCAAGTTCACAGCATCTATCCAATGGTTGGGATCGGTTGCGCTTTTGGTTGTAAACGTACATTGACATGACGTAGACAAGTAATAACCCCTGGAAAGGTGTATTGGATTCGTCCAAATTACGCTCACAAAACGTCCGAATCGATCCATATCGCTCATACTGCAGAGTGAACATTGTGAAAATGGTGGGGCTTGTTATTCATTCGACTTACTCTGGGGAAACACAATCCTCTTCACAGTTGTAGTAAAGGTTTAATTATTTCTCGTCCCGTTTATTGTCTAGTGAACCACTGTGAAGTATTATCTCTCCGGTGTTCACTACTGTTTAGTACTCCGTTTGTACCGCATTGGAATTCCCGTCACATTCTTGTCGGTGACGTAGTCAAGGTTGCGTTTATTCTTTTTTGTTATTTTTATGGTTATCAATGTTTTTCCATTTTTTTCGTGTTTATTAGACATCAACGTGCAATAACAATCGAACCCAATTCTCTAAGGAGTCTTTTTGATTCAGCTTATTCAACCATTCACCCTGACTTTGTTGTATCAGTTTTCATTACTGCCTTTCGGTTACTTGGGTAAATGAGGGAAAGGAAGGATGAGAAAACTAGAATCATTACCGATGTAAAAATGGAGAATTCGTGATGGCTAAGGTAGCACAGACATTGAATGGATGCCCGAGTGAAACAGTTTCTGGCACTGAGGCATATAACTCTGGGTTTATTTATCCATTTCACGGGTGCCGAGGTCTTCATCCGAGAAGTCTGACTTGGTCTACTTGGCCAAACCCCTTGGTCAGGGTTTTTCCAACTTCATGCTGGGTTTTAGTTTGATCCCCCTTGGCCTTCTTCCGCCCATTACCCGCCTGGTAAAACATGATATATGGAAAAAGCCTGTTATTGAAACACGTCGCGCATGTCCCAGCCAACGTATTCCATGTAGGTCAATCAATTTTGTTCCAGTGAACGACCGCTGTTATCTAAAGCTCCACGTCTAATTTTTGCATCACCTATCTGTCGTACAATGCCGTCTAGAGCGTGTTATTCCAACATTGATATTGCCGTAACGAAAGCGTCTCTGGACCACGGAACAAGTAAAAGTGATTTTAACATAGGCCACGTTTTTCGTACCGTAAAGGGTATTACTATCTTCCATTGAAAGAAGTAATTATACAGGAGGATGACGTATGCAGTCAATGAGCTGGAATCTCTTATCTGGGGTTGTTATCTTAAACCGGTCAAATAAAATCTTTCGATTTCGGTGTTAAACGATGTTCCTGAGAATAATCTTACTCAAGAGAAATCTTTGGATTTTTTTAATAGCACTACTTCTATCGCACTGTAGACGTTGTTCGTTTAGCTCTTACCTGTTTAGCTGGCATACTGGTAAACTCATTCTGGCTGCAGCACTTTTGTGAACTTTACGTTCACAACCGTTATGTGATGCCTGGTAAAGGGGGACTCAACATACGTTGGAGGGTGGATGATGTCGGGATGATGGAACTATATCACCAGTTCCCGCAAAGATTTTCAATAACCAAAAGATGAAACCTACCAAGAGAAAAATTATAATCGACGCAGACAGAAAAATCGTAACAAAACAAACTAAATGGCAAAAAGCTCATGATGTCAGCCACAAAATTCTAGGTCACCGTTATAGCGCACTCACCTTTTATTTCCACTGAGTGCAGCAACTGGGATATGTATTGCGGATATCGCCAGATAAGCCTTCTCGGCTTTTGATGTTTTCCGAAGCAGATTCTGGTTTGAAGAAATATAAGGTTAGTAACGCTACGATCCTTCGTCAAAAAAGGAAAATTTTGAGCGATAGACTTGTTCATAAAGGTCGTCTTCAGATTTCTTGCTGGGATCTTACGGTGAATTTATTCAACGACCGGCCCTATCCGGTAATATTGCTAGGCTTTGAGCGAAGGTAGTCTTGCATCTGTGCCTCCTTCTTTGTGGAATTCACACTGTTTCGAAATCCTACATCTCCTCATCCTTTTATGGCTGATCTTAAACCTATCCTGAAATCATATGTCCAGTGCAAAAGGTTTCAGTGAGCCTGTGTTGTCTGTTGCATATGTGATCTGTATGAGCGCGATCACCAAACACTGACAACGATCTTCTGTTTTCCACCGCTGCTTATCAGCATAAAATATCCTGAATATAAAAGCGGATAATAAAGCACTATCCCCAAACCTTCATTCATTAGTTGTTGTGTCTTTGCCCGAATCCGGATCATTACACTTTTCCAAACAACCGCTTGTCGCAGATAAATTCTTCACGTGCTCAGTTACCTCGATCTGTATCTCTGTGACGGTTTTAAACAAAGTGTTGAAAGTCGGGTGAACAGACTATCTATACTGTCACTTACTGACTTGGGCAATTCGCTCTTACGTGAGGATAAATCGGTCTTGTGGATGAATCCATGATGATGAGTCTTGAAGGAATAGTACGCCGTGGCATTCAAAGTATGGTTCGGTTGATTTTCTGCGAGTTATCTTTGCACAGTCGTGTGTTACGCGTTAGGGATCAGGGTGATAATGATTAGCTAGACTCGTGCACTCTAGTATACGGTTAGTCAGTTTATTTGCAGACGGACGGCTTTCAAAGCAAATACCTACTACAGTCTCATAGAATATAACTTCAGCGTTCAGGAGTCACTGATCATTCTCAAAAAATTGTTCGCTACGGCAAACTGCCAGTGACAACACTTCGCTATGATATCCTCGCATACATAACCTGGTTTTGCCATATTCATTTAATAATCTCCAGTATACCATGACTAGTAACAAATATTAAGAGGATGGATTAACCTTGTAGAGCCCATGTGTTACTGACCTTGAAAACATCGTGAGGAACCTTCAGGAATTCATACTCATCAGTTGTACCGGAATTCGAACCAGGACATGAGGGGTCACTAGTGCGGCAGGCTAAATTTTGGAACTATCTAATCCGGCTTAAAGTGGGCTGACGCACACCAACTTTACTGATTTCCCGCTCATCCAATAACATTGTCAGGCATATCGAACTTCATCAAAATAGTGATTTGTTCATTTTAAAGTGAAGTCCAATATCTGTAGTGTCCGTGACTCGCTAATATGAATAAGACTGTTTGATATCGGAAACATCCTCACCCTTTGATCCATTTACATAAAACAAGTAAAATCATATGAGCAGAATTGATATTGATCATCGATTTTGCGCGCTTTTAAAGTGTGTATTATACCATTGAATATGCTTGGATGCATATTTAACTTTGCTGAGTCTGATGGATCAACATGATCAACATTGCTGCGTTTACGTATCAGAGGCCAATTAGCTGATATTGTGCTGAGGAAAATGCTTGGTCTGCATTCAGTGATGTCTGTGCTGTGTATGTTCTCATACTGACCTTGTCGGTACGAAAGTAGATGGGTGTTTAATAATTGGATTTGATTGAATATCCATCACCTCATCTACTTTTTTATTACACACATTTGTGTGGTGAACAGCAGACGGGGCGAACCTCATAGACACGAAGACCTGCTGCTCCGTCATGGAGCCAGACTCGATTTCCCCCCCCCCCATTATAGCTTGATAGGGGTTTACAGTCACAGACCCATCTAGTTTCATAAAAACGGAACCGTCGTGTCGCAGGTACGTGTTAATGGTATGGCAAATAGCTTTATTCTGTGACGAGAATAAGTCGTCAGAAAGTTTTAACGATCCAGGGTGCACCGCATGCAACCATAAATGTAGTCTAGGCAAATAAAAAAACGTTTGAAGCCATGGCCGAGGATCTATTTCTTATCTCTCATTCTGTGCTTCCAATTAGTAGTACTTTTGCATATCTCCATGTATAGTTTTTAATGGGTCTCTTACTGATTATGCCTTACTGTGATACAGATCTGATGTGTATCACCCATGCACCCTTTGGTTGTATCAACTTGAATTTTTCCATTATTGCACCGAATAAATCGTAATACAAATTGTAATTGTAATACGAATGACTTGTAACAAGAAAATTCTGAGTGATCGGAAGACCAAAGGCGTTTCTGTTTTATGACGTTGTGTTGGGAATTCACATTAAAGTTAAAACAAACCCTTTTCATGACAGCAGCGCTGTGCCTGAATTTCACAGAGCCGTATATGGTTATAATGTTTTTCCATCTCCATCTCCTCCTCTTCATTTTCGGATTGGGAACAATCGTTGAGTGACCCATGTTCACCTAGAGGAAACTCACACTGATGAAGCTTCCGCAATCAGAAGTCAATTTTTGTGTCCTTCCTTCTGCATAGTGTGTGTGTGTGTGTGCATGCGTGTGTCTGTATGAGTAAAACAACCAAACATTCGAAGATGCCCCAGTCTAATTTATCTTGTGAACTAAAAGCGACTGAATCGAAACCTGTTTGGAATTTTCATGTATTTTTCCCGCTCATAAATCCAGCTCGCCGTAACTGACGTAGTTTCAAGGCTGGGTTAGATTCGGTGGGAGGGGGCGTTGCTACACGGGTGGTGGCATTTCGAGGAACCAAAGTTTATCGTGCGCTTATGGGAGGTCATTACGAGGTTAATTTTTGATGGATAGGCGAAAGGCATCACACGCGTTAGATGACGTCTCCGAATTGATATTGATCGATTGATCAGACAGCGATCGATACGATCAAGAATACAAGTGACCATCAAGTTATCTCAGCCACGCAAATATCATCTCGGGGCTTATGAATCGGG